GGGGTGCTGCTTCTGACGGAGTGCGGCTTCGAAAGAGTGCGAAGCAGTTAAACACAGCAGTTGAACTAAAGCAGGAGAAAGACACAACAACAGCAAGAAACCATACTGCATGCTGGACAGACTGCAAGCAAACACCCTGGGAAACATCTCTTACATGCCTGAGTCCCACTCTGTGTACCTTTATATAATACACTCCTCTTCATACTACTATCCTCTGTTCCCAAGATCTCACTTCTTTACCCCTCTGCTCCACCCCAAAACTTGCACATCTCCCCCTCATTGCTTTCATCTCCCTACTACTGCCCTCATCACCCCCAAAATGCCTCTTCTACTCCTCATTTTCCTCTCCTCCATTCCCAAAATCCATTCACTATATCCCTCTGCTCCTCCTAAAACATTTGTATATTGTGTCCTCACTGCTTCCTTCGCCCCTCTATGGCACCCACCACCTCCTCCTATTATTCCACTCTCCCACTGACCCGAACACCTCCACTAGGAGTTTCTCACGCTCCTGCACATCCCGCTCCCATGCCACCTTTCTCACCCTTCTCCTCCTCCTAGCCGCGGGAGACATCTCCCCAAATCCTGGCCCTCCACCACCTCCCTCACCCGCACAACACCCTCCCGCCTCCATGTCCTACCCGCAACCTAGTATCTGTCCCCCTGCTCCCTAAAATCTCCCCCCCGTTTTCATGTGCACTCCTGATTGCCCGATCGGTGTGCAACAAGCTTACCGCCATCCACGACCTCTTTGTTTCCCGCTCCCTCAACCTCCTGGCGATCACGGAAACCTGGATCCAGCCCACTGACTCTACCTCCCCTGCTGCACTCTCCTATGGAGGTCTCACCTGGACCCACTCACCCAGACCTAACGGTCGTAAAGGTGGTGGGGTTGGTCTGCTCCTGTCACCGCAGAGCACCTTCCGAGTCCTCCCAAACCCCCCCTCCCTATCCTTCTCCTCCTTCGAGGCCCACTGCGTCCGACTATTCTCCCCAACCCCCCTGAAGATTGCTGTGATATACCGGCCTCCTGGATCCATACCCCGCTTCCTGGAAGACTTCTCCTCCTGGCTACCCTTCTTCCTCTCCTCTGAGCTACCCACCATCATTCTTGGGGATTTCAACATCCCTGTCAACCTTGACAACCCGGACACACAGCTCGTCTCCTCCACTTAACCTCCTCCTTTGCACTTGCACAGTGCATACAATCCACCACCCACTCCGACGGTAATATCCTTGATCTTGTCTTCTCCAACCGCTGCGCTCCCCACAACCTCACTAACACCCCCTTCCCTCTCTCTGACCACAACCTGATCACCTTCTCTATCTCCTCGTCCTCCAACACCTACCCCTCCAAATGTCACACTACTACCAGCCGTAACCTCCGCAACCTTAACCCTGCCCCCCTCCACTCTGCAGCTGATCAACTCCACGACCGCATCCTCCCCTGTCCTGCCCCGACTTGGCTATGATTGCCTACAACAACGCGCTGTCAGCAGCCCTTGACTCACTAGCGCCTTTAACCACACGCAACATCAGACTCCGACCGCTCCAGCCCTGGCAGACTGATCACACCAAAACCCTCAAACGACGCAGTCGTGCCCTGGAGCGACTATGGCGCAAAACAAAATCCCAACAAGCTTTCACCTGCTACAAATCTGCCTTCCGCACCTACACCTCCTCCCTCCACGCAGCCAAACAAGCCTACTTCCTGACCCTCATCAAGGCCCTCTCCTCCAATCCTCGCCGACTCTTCTCCACCTTCAACTCTCTACTCTCTCCACCCCCACCTCCACCCAGCACCTCACTCACCGCCCTTGAGATTGCCAATCACTTCAAAAACAAGATTGACACAATTCGCAAGGACATTGCCGCAACTCACACGCGCCTCTCAACCCGTCCCCTCTCACACAGCTACCCCATCATCCCCCCTCCCCCTCGACATTACCCGCAGGGACTTCGTCGCTGCTCAAACTCCCTCCAACCCCCTTCCCCCTCACTTAGCTACCCCCTCTTCACCCCTCTCCACGGCCTCACCACTGCTCTGACCTCCTCTCCCACCCCACCTTACATTCCTCATACTGAAGCTCCCCCAACACTCCGCACCTTTGACCTTACTACCATCGAGGAAGTCTCCAAGATCCTCTCTGATGCCCGCCTCACCACCTGCCCCCTCGACCCTTATCCCCTCACAATTCCTACGACCTCCCTCCCCCTCCATCCTACGCTCCCTCACCCACATCTTTAATCTCTCCCTCTCCTCCGGCACTTTCCCCTCCCCACTGAAGCATGCACACATCACCCCCATACTTAAAAAGCCCTCCCTGGACCCCAATGACCCACGAACAACCTCAGACCCATCTCCCTGCTCCCACTTACATCTAAACTCCTCGAGCGCCTCGTCTACACCCGCCTATGCTCTCACCTCAACGACAACAACCTCCTCGATCCCCTACAGTCTGGCTTCCGCCCCCTACACTCCACCGAAACCGCCTTACTCAAACTCTCCAACGACCTTCTAACCGCCAAAGCCAATGGCCACTATTCAGTGCTCCTACTCCTTGACCTCTCTGCGGCCTTCGACACAGTTGACCACCCCCTCCTCCTCAAAATACTACACTCCCTCGGCCTCAGAGATTCTGCTCTCTCCTGGCTCTCATCCTACCTGTCACAACGCTCTTTCAGCGTTACCTATAATGCTACCACCTCCCCCTCACTCCCCCTCTGTTGGGGTCCCTCAAGGCTCTGTCCTTGGGCCCCTTCTCTTCTCCATCTACACCTCCTCCCTTGGCCAACTCATACACTCTCACGGCTTCAACTACTACCTCTATGCCGACGACACACAAATCTATCTCTCAACCCCCCACCCTCACCCCCTCGGTCTCTGCCCAAATCACACACCTACTGAGCGACATATCAGATTGGATGTCGCTCCACTTCCTTAAACTGAATCTCTCCAAACCGAGCTCCTTGTCTTCCCCCCAGCCCGAACCCCACCCCCCATTGACTTCTACATCACATCCAACAACGCCAATATCAAACCCGCTCTGCAGGCCAGAGTACTTGGTGTCATTCTGGACTCCAACCTATCCTTCCAGCCCCAAGTCCAATCTTTAACAAACTCGTGCAGACTCCACCTCCGCAAACATCGCCAAAATCCGCACGTTCCTAACCCCAGAAACCACTAAACAGCTCATCCACTCCCTCATCATATCACGACTCGACTACTGCAACTCCCTCCTCACTGGCCTGCCTCGCCGCTGGCTATCCCCGCTTCAGTCGATCCTGAATACGGCTGCCAGACTCATTCACCTTTCCAAACGCTCCGTTTCCGCCACCCCCCTCTGCCAATCCCTCCACTGGCTTCCGATTGCGCAACGGATCAAATTTAAAATCCTAACACTGACGTACAAAGCTGTCCACCATACTGCCCCGAACTACATCACTGACCTAATATCCAAGTACCACCCAGCACGCACACTCCGCTCCTCACAAGACCTCCTTCTCTCTAGCTCCCTGGTCTCCTCCTCCCATGCCCGCCTCCAGGACTTCTCCAGGGTGTCATCCATCCTCTGGAACTCCCTGCCCCAACCCATCAGATTATCACCTACTCTCCTCTCCTTTAGGCGCACCCTAAAAACCCATCTCTTCAGGGAAGCCTACCTCACCCCCTGCTAACTTGCTGACCTCCTCCACTCTTCCTACCACTCCATCCCCCACAGCTATCTCCTCCTGTACCACTATCCCATCCCTTCTAGATTGTAAGCTCGAAAGAGCAGGGCCCTCGATCCCCTCATGTTTTGCATTGTATTGGTATTGTTCTGTCACATGTTCTGTCCCCCTTTGTAATGTATAGCGCTGAGCGAACTATTGGCGCTTTATAAATACTGTATAATAATAATAATAATAGTCCCCTTCGCGGAATGCCGATTACCGGCTCTCCTCTCCTCACAAGCTGTCAGCGTGACAGCTCGTGGGGAGAGAAATGCCGATAACTGGCATTTCCTTTTTACATGTGATCAGCTGTGATTGGACACAGCTGATCACATGACCGAGCCGACGTCTTCGGCTCTTTCCGTGGATTCGTGATCCACTGTGTCCGAGGGACACAGCGCACAGCTGATCACCACGCTGTGCAGTTCGGGAGCCTCGCATACGCGGTGAGAATGGGAGGACGTCATATGACGTCCTCCCAGAGCGAGAGAACCATCTTGCGTCCATCATATTACTATATGACGGGCGGGAGGCGGTTAAGAATAAAAATGTTTTTAAATGGCAAATGAAAACACAGGAGGAGGACCCTGGATCCACAGTTACTACGCCTGAAGAAGAGGTGAGAATTGAAAACCCAATAGAGCAAGAAAAGAAGAGAAAAGGAATAAATAGGGGATATGAATATAAACTGCCAAGAACCCCATTCCAAAGAGGGCCCCAACCTTATAGAAGGAACAGAAATGGGGCATATAGAAATGAAGTAATCAGAACACCAAGTAGAAATTATGGAGAAAATAGAGGATATTGGAACAGAAGGAAAAAAAGGTAGCTGTGCATCCCTAGACTAAACCCTTTCCAGGCGAGCCACGTTTCTGTAGTGTGCACCGGCCCTAATGTTGAGTGTGGATGAAAAGAAATACAAATCCTTTGGCAGGTGAAACAAACTCCTTGCATGTATTTCTTTGCATCTTAAGTCTTGAAGCTGAACTCCAGTCATATATAAAGATACAAATTAATTCTGCTCTGTGTCTTATTAGAAGCCTATTCAAAGCAGCTGCACTTCACTCCAACATATACTGAGTTGTTCTGCACTGATTGAAAATGGATCATGTTGTATTTTTGCACAATACAGAACATTGGCTACAAACTGCAATGCATTGAAAGAACACTAAATAGAAAAAAAAATCACAAAGCCTGCATGTTATGTGCACGCTAATGTAAGCGCTGTGGAGTGAATGGGACTTAAATCATCGTTAAACTTATACTTTTAAATACAAGCTTTTTAATTGCCTAAATATGATGTCCCTTGAAAGCTTGAAGGTACTCCTTGGATTTTGGGGACCTTCTATGCAGCTAGGCTCAAAAACGTCTCGCACATGTGGTATCCCTATACTAGGGAGGAGTAAAAGAATTTGTTTTGAGGTGGAATTGTAAGTATGCCCATACTGGGGTGTGAAAAACAACTTAACAAGTCACATTTTATTTACTTTTTTCATTTTGCAAACAAAATTGTGTCAAAAATTAAAACTTCAAAAATCTCAACATGCCTCTTATCTTGGAGTTTCTACTTTCCAATAATGTGTCATTTAAGGGTGTTGGTACTGTCCTGACATTTTAAGGCCTCAAGAAATGAGATAGGCAGTCAGTACTTCAAGGTTGATACATTTTTTTATCAAATAAGAATACATTCTGGCCTACATGTATGAATAAAGATTAATTATTTGCACAGTTTTAAAACAGAAATTAAAAGTCTTTTTTTTTTCAAAAAAATTTCAGTCTTTTTTTCCTTTATATAGTAAAATATAAGGAACCCAATGGTGAAGAAAATACCACCAAAAGAAAGCTATATTTGTCTCAACAAATGAAACAAAATTAATTTGGGTACAGCGTTGCATGATTAATTGTCAAACTACGACAGTGCTGAAAACTGAAAAATGGTCTAGACAGGAAGGGGGTTGAACACGCCAGGCTTCCAAAACAAAAAATAGTAAATGCACATTTTTTTCACCTGCAAAAAAATTAGCATTTATTATTTTTAGTTAAAAGGTGAACTTATCCTTTATGTTTTCCACTAAACAGTCGCAGTTTTTATTTATATCTACTGGATTACATGCTTTCCAGTTATTCACAGATATATATTCATTCACAGCTGGTATGAAACAATATTTTACACCAGGCACCTCATCCATTTCGTGTATTGTAGTCTTAACACATACATTATAACTATACACATTACTGTCCAGTCGTCACTGAAATGTTACATTTATCGTGAGTGCTGAACTGATTCATTGCCTTAAGGTCCACTTGAACAGGATGTAGGTATGCTACTAGTTGACCTTTTAAACTGAATTTTTATGGAGTATCTTTTACAATCATATATTTCAGACAATATTTTTACTTGTGATCCCTCTCCGTTGATTTAGTTATTGAAATATAATTTTGAAGATATTTGTGGTTAAAAATCAACAATTTGTGATACCTAGGGAGCATTCACAGGCTAGTTGGCACTTAGAAATGGGGGAGGGGGGGGGGGGGTGATTCTATTGCTTCCCCAAGAAAATCTAAAAAATTGCTCTCTACAATAAAAGAGCAAGAACACTTACTTCTCCAGCTGGCAAGCTGTGGGACAGAAATTCCACTGTCCTAAAGTGCTAAAAGCTTCTAGAAACTCTTCAGCATCTGACACTTACAGGAGTGTCAAAAGCTTGCATCCCTCTCTGTACAGTGGTTTCTCCTGCCAGTCAGCTGTATCAATACTGTATTCTGTAGTGATATATAAGCCAGTGGGAGATACCACAGTGTACGAGAGGGAGATGGGGGGGTCACAGGCATTACACATTCATAGAAGTGTTGAATGCTTAAGACTTTTCTGGAGGTTTTAGTGCTTGATGAAAGCTGAGTTACAACTTACCACCCTCCACCCTTCTATTAAAAAAAGCAATTATTTTGATTTTTTTGGTGAAACGACAGAAACACTTTAAATAAATATTTTGTCTGCCACATATTACGATAATACCTAAAGAAGGAAAAGATTCATCTCAATGTGCCATTTACAGGCCAATTTAATTATTAAATATAGATACTAAATTATATGCGAAGGTCATTGCTAACAGATTGAAAGGCCTAATGCCAGACTGGGTACACCTAGACCAGGTGGGGTTTATATACAGGGCAGAGAAGGAAGGGATAATGGTCTGAGATCATTACTTCTCCTTCAAAAGAGTAGGAATGAGAGATCCCCAGTGGTTTTCTTGTCAATAGATGCTGAAAAAGTGTTTGACAGGGTAGACTGGAGATTTATGATGAGTATAGGATTAGGACCTAAATTGATGCTTTGGAAAAAAATGTATACAATCATCCATCTGCAGCAGTGAAGATCAATGGCACATTATTGAAATCTTTCATAATGCATAATGGAACACGGCAGGGGTGTCCATTTTCACCTCTCCTTTTTGTACTTTTGGAGCTTTGGAGTTCTTTTTGGAGCCCCTGTTGGCTACAGTATGAAATAGTGTAGATATAAAAGGAATTCAAATCGGAGATGTGGAACACAAGATTGCAGCATATGCAGATGATATATTATTTTGTGTTGTAAATCCTAGATTAACACTACCAAATTTAATGGGAGTACTGTCAAACTTTAAGATGAATTTTTTAAAGACAGAGATATTGAATATTAATCTACCAAAGTCAGAAAGAGATGATTCAAGGGAAATTCCCTTTCACTTGGAGGTACAAAGAAATAAAAAAAATGAGATAAAAGAGAAACTGAGGAAAATTTAAATAGGATCACTTTTTTGGATAGGGCAGATAAACATGGTCAAGATGGTGTTATTGCCTAAAATCATATATAAATTTCATATGTTGCCGATATATCTGCCAATGGGATATTTAGGAGTATTGAAAAAAATAGTAATGAGATATACATGGGTAAATAAAAAACTAAGGGGAAATCAGGAGACCCTAAGTAAGGATAAAGAAAAAGGGGGTCTTAAGTGAAGTACAAATAGATAAAATTATTTGGATTCCACAACAATACCGTATGTTGGCAGAAAACACTAGCAATTTGATACGGAATCTTTTGAGGATTTGGGATTTAATTTATAAACAAATGAGGTGGGAATATAAATCACCATTGATACCATTGATACCATTAGTAGGAACAATTTTTTTTTACACCGGGGAAGAGTAATATTTCAGGGGCATAGATAAAGAATAAGAATGCACATTTAAAAGATATTATGAAAATGGGAGAAATATGCTCTTTACAGGAGCTGAAATACAAAAAGAAATGTTTTTCTTGATGGATGAATGGTGATACTATCAATTAAAACATTTTGTTGAATCACTATAACAGCCTATAAGAGGTTGGGAAATGCACCCATTAGAGCACTTGATGAGTTTAGAAGGAATACAAAAGCACTGTACTTCCTGTATGTATAAGACACTTACCATATTATTTGAACCAACCTCATTAGGGTATATGGAGAAATGGGAAAATGAATTGAGAACACAATTGAATGAGCAACACAAAAATAAAATATTTAGGATTGCACAGGGAACTATGGATATGAACACAGTTGAGATGAATTATAAATTTCTGTCAAGAAGGAATGCTATGGCCAGTAGAGTTCATAAGTATCACCCAGAGAACCCCCCACTTTGTTGGAGAGGTTGTGGGAGAGAGGGTACACTGGTACATATTTGGTGGGAATGTCCCAAAATACAAGAATTTTGGCAGATGATGGTACAAGAAATAGTGGGAGAAAGTGTAATAATGGACCCATGGGTGTGTCTATTTTATGGTACTGATCTCACAGTAAAGCATTTTAAGAACAGTATTGTACTTTATTTATTTTATTTCAGGTACTTATATAGTGCTGTCAATTTATGCAGTGCTTTACATATATATTGTACATTCACATCAGTCCCTAACCCTCAAGGGGCGTACAATCTAAGGTCCCTAACTTACGTTCATACATACATATACTAGGGCCAATTTAGACAGGAGCCAATTAACCTACCAGCATGTCTTTGGAGTGTGGAAGGAAACCTGAGTACCCAGAGGATACCCATGTAGGCACAGGGAGAACATGCAAACTCCAGATAGGTGGTGCTGTGGTTGGGATTTGAACCAAAGACCCTAGTACTGCCAGGTTGAAGTGCTAACCATTTAGCCACTGTGCTGCCCTATTTTATCTAATTAATACAGCAAAAGGATTGATTCCTAAATTCTGGAAGGCCCAGGATTCACCAAAAGTCAAAGACCATATAAAGAGGGTAGAATATATTTATAGGAAAGAAGAGCTATACCATAGTGCAGAAGATAAAAATGGAGAAGTTATTGAAAACATGGGAAAAGTGGTCTGAATTTAGGACGGAGATTTGCTGAACTGGTGGAAAAAAGGAATGCGGAGAGGGAGGACTGGATCGAATAGAGGTTGTTTTTTATGAGTGAAGAAGGCGCATTAGTGAAATAGGAAGAGAATGGATTAGGGGAAAATGGGCAGAGGGGGCGGAGAGATGGGAGGGGTAAATAAATTTAAATTTGTTATGAATTTTAGATGATTTGCGTTAGTATTGTAGTTTTTTTGTATGATGTAATTAACAAGAATAAAAATATAATAAAACATAAATAAATATTATTTTGCATCACATCTGAAATGTGTGAATTGGCTAAGTCTGGTAACAGTCTAGACTGAATTTTTTATAGACACGTGTGTTTGTATCTTCTAAGTTTTTTGTTAAAGGCCATTCACTCCAGAACACAAAGCAGAATATTCTCTATATACCCTATATACTGTGTAATTGCCTTTTGACCCTGTTAGCATTACAGGTAATTTTTAATGATGCTTTTAGTGTTTGCCACCAGTACTATGATGGAGATGATTGCCACAATTCCATATTTTTAATAAACCTGTATCTTTTAATAAGGAATAACATTTTTAAATGTTTTCACAAAGGCTTCTTTAACATCTTTATTTCTGAAACTGTACACAACCGGATTTAACAGAGGGATCATATATGTATAAAGGATGGTTAATGCTTTACCATGGTTTGAGGACTCAGGTGACTTGGGGCTAAAGTACAGTCCAAATATTAGAATATAAAAACAACTGACAACAGTCAAATGAGAGGCACAAGTTGAGAAGGCCCTGTATTTTCCCTTATTGGAGCGTATTCTTAGAATGGTAGATATTATGTAGATATATGAAATCAGAGTGAGAAGGAAACAGGTCATTACAAGTAGGTTGCCTTGGACTAATATTACAGTACGTATATTTGCCGTATCACTGATGGCAATTTCTTCCAGCGCTTTAATGTCACAAAAGAAATGATTAACCCTATTTGTTGTCTGATAGGATGCCACAGCGGTAACAGTTGTTGGAGAAATGGATCCTAGAAATCCACAAATCCAGGTTCCTATAGCTGCTATGGTGCACAGAGTCCAGTTCATAATCATTTTATAATGCAACGGCTTGCAAATGGCCACATAACGGTCATAAGACATCACTGTTAGCAGAAAATATTCAGTGTTCCAAAAAGAAACAAAAAAGAAAAGCTGTAAAATACATTCTGTGAAGGAAATTCTTCCATTATTGGTGGCAAAGATGTGGATCAGCTTTGGAGAAGACACAGATGTATAGATAATGTCAAGAGAGGAGAGGTTGCACAAGAAGAAATACATTGGTGTTTTCAGTGATGGACTTACAGATATCAGGAGGATAAGAGCAAGGTTCCCGATTAGTGTCAGCATGTAGACAAGGAGAAAGAATAAGAAAAGGGGAAGCCATATCTCTGGAAAATCTGAAAAGCCAACAATGAAAAATTCCATTGTAGAGTTTGGATGTTGGAGGACCATGGCTGGCTGCAACAGAAAATGGACTGGATATTCCTTTACCCTGGCATTTGAAAATATGCAGCAATTGAAAGAATGGACATACAATCTGAAACATTATAAACACATTTATAATAGTAAATAATAAATAATATAGATTTCTACATCATATATGAAAGAGGCAACGCTGTGGAACAAAGAAGCACAACAACAGAAATAAATTTACTAAAACAGGAGAGTGCAAAATCTTCCGCAGCTCTGCATAGAAACCGATCAGCTCCCAGATTTTATTGCCAAAGCTTAAATGAGCAAGCTGAAGTTAGAAGCTGATTGGCTACCATGCACAGCTGCACCAGATTCTGAGTGCTCCAGTTTTAGTAAATCCCCCCCATGGTTCACAATTTTGGGTTATCCCTGCAAATATGACCTGAAAGCAATTTATGATGTGACTTCAGTTTGTTACAGCCTGTGAGTCCATTAAGGAGATTTTACTTCATTATTTCACTATTCATGCTGTCACTAGCAGGGTTAACGAGGGCAATCTCTTCAACAGGAGCAACAATTGGAGCAATTTTGTTCTACTGGGTGAGGAGGGATCAGATATTTAAAGGGTAGACATAGCTTTCAACTGTTCCTGATTTCAAGGGACTGTCCCTGATTTAGAATAAAGTCCCCCTGTCCATCTTTACTCCTCATTTTTTCCTCATTTTGGTCTCATCTATATAGTTGTAAATAAAATGCACTATTTATCTTTCAAAAAGTGTTTCACGGTGCTAAACCTTTTCATACAGTTTCTAAATTGTTGCATTTGTAAATTTCACAAGACAGTGTAAATGAATAGTAGTGGTTAAAAAACACTTGTTGGTTTAACTAATATTTTGTTTTATAATTCTTCTTTATGGGGGCATGGCAGGGGGTGTGTCCTATGCCCACATACTCTTTCTATTAGGTGTCCCGTGTTCCCATCTCAAAAAGTTGGGAGGTATGGGTAGAGGTTCTGCATTTCTGTTTAGATGTCCTACATTGAGATATAAATATATAGAGAGCTGTATAAAACATGCAATATCTGAGTTTTAAGAAATTAAAAAAAGACTGCTCATATAATGAAATGACCAAAACATGTACCCTTTAAAATAAAGAACATATGTAACAAGGAAGAAGAGCAAAAAAATGGAAAGAGATACCACAAAATATGTGAACAGGCAACATCTGATGTAGGTTTTTTCCCCCAATAAAATGTACAGTACAAAGCTAACTTGTGGATAAAAAAATGAGTTGTTTTTGGTCGCTACTCACTCATTCACAGGATTATTACCAAAAGAAGGCACTTAATGCAGCATACCACTAGATCTCTGCCCAAAAATAACTAATTTGGTATGTGATTTGGATATATATATATATATATATATACAGTATATGTTATGGACACAATATGAAAAGTGATCATATTGTCAGGGAATGCCTGAATGATTAATTTAGTCAGCTAAATATATTGAGCCACAGTGCTTCCAATACAAGAATAATTTATAAAAATAATTTAACAGACTTAATTAAATATTTTGAGTTATTTTGCCAAGCAGACATTTTAATTAACACAACAAGATCGGTGTGACTATAGACTGAGATTATCAAAAATAAATTAATATTTATTTACAATAAGTCACTTACAAACGCCATAAATGATAGTCAGATTGGGGTATGCATAGACACTAAGATATTTGCAAAAACGTTCTAAACTTGTATATAGTGTATTAAATTCAATAATTGACCTCCCTTTGTAGACAATATAACAAATGATAACTACTAAGCAAACAGTAATCTGTGTTTTACAGAATTCGACTATTATTCTCCTGCATAAAGAATAAGTGTCGAAATACGTACAAGTATGCACCAATACAGCTCAAGAAAAAGAAAAATAATAATAGCAAAAATAAATAAAAAAAAAATTTTTAAAAAGTAAATGACCAAATTCAAGTGGTTTTATCATGGGAAACGTGAGGAAATGCAGTTCCGGCACTTCCAGCACTGAATTTTGTGTAAAAACAAGGGGGGCTGGAGTGTGCTAGATGGTCTATTGATGCTGGCTGCTGCGGGATCTATTATCACTGGAGGGAATCTATTTTTGTGTGGAAGTCTATTGTTGATGGGGAGATCCATTATTGCTGATGGGGATCTGTTGTTTCTGGGGAGTCAATTATTGCTGGAAGGGATCTACTGTTGAGGGAGAGTCTCCTGCAGAGTCTATTGATGCTGACTGCTGAGAGATATAGTGTTGCTTTTGGGGGTCTATTTTTGCCTGGTTTGTATTTTGTTGTGAGGGTCCATTGTTGTTCTGGGGGGGGGGGTCTATTGCTGCTGGCTGTAGGGTATCTATTTTACTGCTGTTCTTGTTATCTTTAACAAATTCCAAAGGCCAAAGCTGACATAAGGAGGCAAACCTATTCATACAGTAAAATAGAGGAATTAATGCTGCTTATCAGTGCTGCCCCTAGTGGAGAAGTGGAACACAGATGGGTGCTAGAGTAAGGCTGGAGTTAACATAAGCAGGGGTGCCTATCCCTATAGTAAAATAGAGCAAATTATACAACTTTTCACTTTGCAGTAAATCCTTCCGTGAGTGCACACTGTTGGTGGTTTAGTGATGTCTACACCCTGAAGTTGATATATTTATTTATATACACATCTGGACTAGCGGATGAAAGCTACTATCATATACAGTATAACATATCTAATGAAATAGTTATATGTTTATTTTTTTTATATATTTAGATTTTTCACATTTGGATGGATTGTAGTTTTATTCTTATTATTTACTTTTAGCTGGTTACACATTTGAGAGATTAATTTGTAGCTCGTGATTATTTACGTGTAAATTTTTGCCACTGTATTTATTTAATACTGTTCGACTTATCCATAATAATACCGACTGTGCTATATTTTCATTGATGATTTGAAGTGTAATTTATTTAAACCAAAGCTTTTGGTGTGGTTGCTGATAATTTATAAGTACTGATAAAGGTTTTTTTTTTAAAGGGGAGATCCCAGTTTAAGAATTTGTGCTAGATAGGGTGTACATACTGTACCTTATATACTAACCTTAGGAGCTAACCTCTCTGCAGATTTAAAAGTCACACATGGAAGGAGAAGCGTAGCCAAAACTTTTTTGGCTGTACTTCTCCTATGTATCACCGGAGTGCAGTTCATTCCCGCTGACAGAGGGCTAAAGCCAGCTGTTGACTGATGTCACAGAGCTGGTCCAGGCTCTGAAAAGATCCCAGCCATATGATCGATATCAACCCAGATGCCTGGATAGGCAGCTGGCTCAGTCTCTCAGCGAGCCGCTGAAATCCTGAGCCAACTGCTCCTGCCCCCTCCACAGCCCAACACTCTAGTGAGTGCTGGAGGGACAGAGCAGAGAGCTGGTGACTGACGGTCACCGGCTCTCCGCAGCCTGAAAAACTGAGAACTGAGTGATCAGTGGCAAAAAAATCCATTCAAATGTTATTCATTTATACTTCATAATTTTTTTTGTAAAGTGTGTGACCAAGCATTATGCACATTTAACTCAAAATTTTGCCTTCACCCTCTTGAGCATTTCCCAGCATGATTTTATCTTGTGATGAAAAGTGTCGGAAGCATATTTTCCATCTCTGAATGAACACGTTGCTTGTTTTTATAAGGCCTTATGCACACACCCATATGGAAGAAAAATATATTTGAAATATATTTTTAAAATATTCTTCCCAAATAATATAAAAAAAACATTTAAAAATATGTTTTTTTTCGGTCTCTTCAGCAGTGCCCCTATGGGAAGCGCATAAGGCCACGGTGCGGGGTCATGTTATACAACTGGCTGCAGTCCGGAAGCGGGAGCGGGAACGTCGACTCTCGGAGCTTCATTCTCTCCTGGCCTCTGCGGATGCGCGTTGGAAGTCATCTCCATCCGTGGCCCATAAACGCGCTCGGGACGCTCTGGCGACAGAATTGGACCTCCTTGCCTCTTCGGAGGCGGAACGGGCCTTGCGTTGGACCAAACATAAATTCTATTCCTGTGCTAATAAGCCCGGTCCCATGCTAGCCAGGAAACTCAATTCTGTGGGGAAAACCCATAAAACCGATTCGGCTTCGACTTTCCACGGGTGGCTGTACTTCTAATCCCCAGCAGATTTTTCCCGATTCTCGGACTTCCTTTCGCGCCTCTATGCTGCCCCAGATCCCTTCCCTGTGGCCCAGGCAGAGGCATTCTTTCAGGACCTCCATCTTCCTGGATTAACCGAGGCAGCACAGGTGGCCCTCAACGCAGGTGTCACCGTACCGGAAGTGCTACAAGCAATCAAATCTTTACGGTCCACCGCGGCCCCAGGTCCAGACGGCTTCTCCGGTCTCTATTATAAAAAATTCTCAGCCCTATTGGCGCCCTTTTTAGCTGCCTACTTTAATGAGTTACGACAGGGCTCCTTGCCCTCTCCGGACGCACTTAGGGCACATATCTCTATGATTCCTAAGACGACCGCTGATGTCCAGGAACCGCAAGCCTTCCGGCCCATCTCTCTTCTTAATGAAGACTTGAAAATATTGGGCAAGATCCTTAGTTTTCGCATCAATAAATATTTGTGTAGCCTGGTCCACAGGGACCAAGTAGGGTTCGTCCCCGGGAGGCAGGCGGGTGATAATGTCCGTAAGGTGGTCCATCTTATACATTTTCTGCAACAACGGAAAATCCCAGGATTCTTACTGTCCTTGGACATATATAAAGCTTTTGATTCTCTATCCTGGGAATATCTGCGGTTTGTGCTGTCTCGCTGGGGTTTCGGGGATTCTATTCTCTCTTGGATTCAAGCCTTGTATTCCTTTCCTTCGGCTTCCGTTAAATACGCTGGGTATTTCTCGGATCCCTTTCCTGTTGGGAGGGACGAGGC